TAAAACAAAATGAAACAAAGAAAAAATCTGATTGCACAAAAGGTCCTAATATTAGCATACAAAAAGGTAACTAAGCCATCATTTTCACTCCATATGCTTCTGATTCTTTTAAGATACTATGCATGCAGCATGATCATATTGTTTTGGTATACTTGAAAGTGTTTTGAAATAACTATGCTTCTTCTTCACCACCTTAATTCATCATCTCTTTCTACAATAACTATGTCTTTTATTCATTATAGTATTCAACGTTAACTCTAAATTTAATGTATCAAATTCAAAGATCAAAAATAGAAAGTCTATGCTATTACTTTACACTCACAGCTCATCAAGCAAAAAAAACAACAATGAAATCAAATATCAAACACCACATCAGCATGAAACAAATACATTAATCTAGACTTAAAAACATACCATATCTCTTTGATTTCAATGGTTTCAGTCACTTCAATACCGATCAACCTTCGTATGGTCGAACCAAGTGGCTAGTAGGGAGCATTTCAGCCCTCACAAACTGTGAGGTGGCAGCAGCATTAGAGGTAGCACTGAAACCAAAACCGGCCAGTGACCTTTCACAAACCAAATAAAATGTAACAAAGTGCTAAGTTTGACAATTACATTTTACCACAAACTTCTATTTCTTAGTAGAATCCTAAGTTTGAAAACTTTAACTCCTACTTTCCCAAATGTCATTTAACAATAGGCATGTTCTTAAACCATTCAAGTGCAACATACCCTTTTGTTCCCCTAATGCCAGTGTTGGTTTTGCTTTGATTCATGTTCATCAACTTGGCTAGTCCAAAGTCAGAAATTCTTGCATTGAAGTAATCATCAAGAAGTATATTTTGAGGCTTTATGTCACAGTGGATGATCCTAGTAATGCACTCTTCATGTAAATACACAAGTCCCCTTGCTATTCCTATTGCAAGTTCAAGCCTTAGTTTCCAACTTGGTTTCTGTTTCTCATCAGCATTGAAAAGTAAACTTGCCAAAGTGCCATTGCTCATGTACTCATAAACAAGCAATCTTTCACTTCCACCCTCACAAAATCCAAGTAAACGAACTAAGTTCTTATGATGAGTGAGACCAATGACATTCAGTTCATTCCTGAATTCTCTATGAGCTTGATCCAACAAAAAATTGTTCAACTTTTTCACAGCCACACGAGTTTCGGAACATGTGTTGTTGACGACTCCTTCATAAACTATACCAAAAGCTCCCCTTCCTAGCTCTTTGTCAAATCCATTAGTAGCTTCTTCAAGCTCTTCGTAAGTGAAGCAACGCAAATTGGTTTCAACACTAGTTTCACTTCTGCTAACTCTTCTAAGCTTCTTCTTGTACTGAACAATCATGGAGGTGCTGAAACATATTGCTACAAGCAATACAGCATTGAGAATAGCAGAGCTACCAAAAAGCACAGAAACAACCAAAACCAACGTTTCCCTATTATTATTCTTGTTCGCAATGATTGGAAATGGAGGAAAATCAAAGGACTGGAGGGAGGTATTATCTTTTCTCACTTTCAAGAAAGCCTTAGCGCGCACCATTAAGTGTTGGATCAACTTTCCCATTTGAGAGTGGTAACTTCTTCATCCAACAACTATCACCTAACCTGAAAATAGCCACAGAACACATGCAATCTCCCATACAAGCTTCTTTACACAGTTCTTCAGTAAAAGGCCTTTGAAGCACAGAATCTGAGAAAGGCCAATCAGTGTTAATCAAAACCTCAAAGTTATAGAGATCCTTTCTTTTACTCAGTTCATCTTCTTCACATCCTTGTATAAAATCTGGCTTGCAGCTACCATATGGATCATCAGGATTAACTAGAGAGTAACTTTTTGGACACTGACACGTTGGTCTCTTATCCTGTCCCAAAGTGCAGAAGCTATTGTATCCACAAACACCACTACCAGAACTGACAGTATAAAGACATATATTATCAGGTTTGGACCATACTGTGGTCCAACCTTCAGTACTCTTTGTTGAACTCTTTGGGTGCTTGTAAGCAAATTATCATAATACTATTCCCTAAAAGAAATAAGCAATTTGAAAGGGAAACTATTAGAGGAGAATGAATAGTGTTATTGATGATTCCTCTTTCTCTAAGGTTGATAGAAAACCATGGTCAGAACATTTATCAAACACTTTGCGGGCAAACCAGAAGAGATAATGAGATTGATACAAGTGGGGCAAAGCTATAGAGAAGAGAAAAGAACGGAGAACGGTGGTGGATGACTTACCGGGAGTGACACGGATTGAGAGCGGCGGAGATCGGAAAGCTCAGAGACGATTGACAAGGAGGTGTCTCCAGTCTTGTTGTTTGGACGTGCAACTGGCAAAATCACCCATAAAGTTTTCTTAAATAGCACCAACACCCAATTTTCTGAAAATGTGTTTTTTTTTTTTTTATCAATTAATTAATTAATTCATTATTATATATAACATAGCGCTTTTTAATAAATGCTATTATATAGGTAGTCAAATAATAGCGTTTTATACAAAATGCTATCTTAAAGAAGTTTAATAATAGCGTTTTGGTACAAAGTGCTATCAAAATTACATAGTCTGTATTATATAATAGCGCCCGATTAAAAAGTGCTATTATAAATGTGTTTTTTCCATTTTAATAGCATTTTTTTTAAAAGTGCTATTAAATTAGGTGATACAAAAAATCATTTTTGGCGTAGTGACGTCCTCCAAAATTAACCCCTCAAATGACTGAAACAATTAGACAGCTAGCTTAAAGTGAAGCATCACGTGAAAATGAAGCATTGAGAAAAAAACAAATGGAGTTGGAGGAAGCATTGATACTTTCACAAGAGTAAATAATGCTTACACAACAACAAATTCAACAACAAGTACAACAACAAATACAACAACAAATGCAACAAATATTTCAACAATATGGTGATGGTGGAGTTAGAGCAGTTGATAACCAAGGAGCGGTAGACGAGAATGAGAATGATCAAGAAAACGGAAACGACAAGGACTATTCAGATTTTGAATGAATATCATTTTGAATTTAAATATTTTAAATTAATTATGAATTTATTTAACTATGGACTTTTTTTAAAAATTAAGTATGAATTTACATGTTTAAAATTAATTATAAATTTAGCATTTTTAAAAATTTCAGAATTTAAATTATTTATTATATTTATTATATTTATATTATTTTAAATATTAATTTAATATTTAAAATAATATAAATTTTTTTTATTATATTCTTTACTGTTTGTGTGGTGAATTTCATAAGGCATATTCAAATGTTGTTAGGTGATATACACCCCGCAAGTTTCTGCTTCACTCTGCTACTCACCTGCTCTGACATGCGTTGAACTCTGGGAAAAACGTTACGGGGTGCTTTTCACCCTGCAAATTTCAACCACTCTCAACTGCTCTGATATGTATTGAAATATGGGAAAAGAGTTGCGGAATGCTTTTCACCTGGCAAAGTTGCGAGGTGCTTTTCTTCTTGCAAAGTTGCGGAGTGCATTTTCCCTTGCAAAAAGTTGCGAGTAACGTTTTTGCGGGGTATCCTCTGCACCCTGCACAAATGACATTGCAGGATAATATTTACTTTTGCGGGGTGCTACTCACCCGACAAATCAGAGTTTTTTTTTTGTGATTAATTGTTGTCGTTGTGTTAGGTAGAAGGATTAATGTTGTTGTCTTTTAGATTTAATGTTTAACGATTTTATTGATTTTATTTTTGTTGTTTTTCTCTTGTTGTTTTTATTATTATTGTTAAGATTTAATATTTAATGATTGTGTAGATTTAATTTCGTTGTTGTTGTTGAGATTTAATGTTTAATGATTCTATTGATTTTGTTGTTGTTGGTGGTGGTGGTAGTCGTGGTGTTATTGTTGTTGTTGTTTCTTGTTCTTGTTCTTTTTCTTGTTTTTGTTGCATTTATTGTTGTTCTGTTAGAAATATTTAATATTCTATAAAATCAATATAGTCAGACAAAACATGTGACAAAAATAAAATAAAAATTAAATAAAATAAATTTTAACCGTTAAAAGTTTCAACCGTCACAAAAAATAGACTGATTACATTTCACCACGGTTGAAATTTCCAACCTTAATAAAACATAGCACTATCCAGTTTTTTACAACGGACCTTAATTGGTAGTAGAAAGTAAAGCACTTACTACTACACCCTACCATACTACGAGCTACCATCTATGATATCCTTCACCCATATATGTTTTGTAGTAGTGTTAGTTTGAGATTCTAACTTCCATAACATAATTTTAACTAAAGCTATCATGTGACTTCGAACTTCCCTTACTTGATGTATAAGCTAGAGTACATAAACTGTAAAGTTTAGATTATAACGTAATGTAAAACGTATAATCTAGCTTCCTTATCTCAATCATGGTATTTCCGCTGTATTCTTTCCCTGCATAATTTAAAGCAACTGCCTTGCAACCACTTATCCTTTAAAAGAAAAATCACATAAGTATATATTAATGTATGTTGAAATGCTGAGAAATTTTGCTTATTTTGGCTAAGATTTTAATTGCCTAGAATTTATAAATGAGAATTAAAGATTTTATTTAAGTTAATTAGTTAAACGGAAACCTCAAGAACATATGACAATTGAATAATTGAATAATTATTATTCACATCATGAAATTGAATTCATAAAGTAAAGTGTTACTGCTCAATGTACTCAAGAAACAAACATAATATTTCATAATAAATCACTGAAAATATAAAAGAATAATTTGGGCAAATATGCTTGCCGAATTATTATTTTGACAAAACACCTTAACAAACCTATACAAATTAATATTTGAACAAACTCCACGTTAACATCGACATTAAATAATTATAATAATTTTAAAAAATTGATAGTAACACGCTCTTCAATCGATAAGCATTGGAGAATGTGTTGCTAACAATTCTTTAAAAAATAAACAATTCTCTTGTACGAGAAACCATTATTTATAATGCACATATATATTTATTCAACAACCACACAAAACCTCTTAGACACATTGAAAACCAGAAGGAACGGTTTTCTGACAAGCACTAAGGATTAAACTAAGCGAGATAGGTACATTCAGGTTGATTCCAAGCACATTGGCCTTAAGTGCACTACAAAGACATAGTGCGGCCTCCAAATCAGCCAAACCTTTGATCAATGCGCAACAACTACTACCCGAAGGAGGGTCTCCAATAACAATATTAACCAACCCTAAAAGGTCGGCACAAACCCCTAACTTTAAGGCGTCCTTGGGGCAGGAATTTTGGGATGATGGTGGAGAAGCAGTTGGTGAAGGTGTTGGTGGACAATTATTAGCATTAGTGAATGTTGAGTAGGAAAGAAGAGAAATTACTAAAATTATGAAAGTGAATTTGTTGAAAGCCATGACTATAGTTTACAAATAAATTTAGTAATATGTGAATAGGTGTTGATTGAGGTTGAATTGTGAACCTTTTTATAGGAAAAAAAATATTGTAAGGTGTACGTTAGAAATCTAAATGAGTGGAAGTGAGAGAATAGTGTGATAATGTTGGTACTTTTTTAAACTTATGAAAAAAATTGGTTCTACAATATTTTGGCTGATTATGGTACGTGTCTTTTTTTCCAATAGTTATTATCTCTATGAACCAATTGGTGATAATAAATTCAAAATAGGGAAGGGGAGTAGCTTTGTTTTCTACCACACTAAATTGAGGTTCTCATTCCGTGGGAAGTGATAATAATTTGAAGGCTATATGAAGATGAGAATGTCCAACAGTCACAAGTTTACGTACTAGTAGTTTGTCTGTTCTTCACATGAAAGGGACAACTTTGGCTTATGTGCATGTGCAATAAATGTGAAAAATTGAAAGAATCACTAATTGATTCATTTCATCATCTAGTCCCATGTTTCCTAAGTGTCCAATACATCGAACACAACGCATATGTCATCTCCTTATTAGAAGAGCCCTTAAGGCATAAAGAGTTCAGGTTTATGCAAAAACTACACGTGTTTTTATCCCTCTTTCTATATGTTTTAGGGATTATCTTCGTTATGGCGATTGAGGTGTAATATTTCTTCAAAAATAATTTAAAAAAATGCATAGGTGGTTTTCGAAAGACCTATTTGGGCTCACATATGAAGGTGTGAATTAAGATTCGATGTTAAGTTTAGTTAGGGTTTATGTGTTTAATACTCTAGCAGAGAAAAGAGCGGATATCTGTCAGCACTCTAACGTTTAAGTTAGTGTCTATTAAAAGAGTGGAGTTTTAAGGTTAGAATAGTGCGTAACTTTATGTGATAATACTTTATAGTAGAGTTTTAGGATTTTCAAGAACATAGCATTTTCTGCTTTAAATGTTAGAACATCCTTTCAGGTACAATCTAAGGATTTGTCTTGAGTTTTTTTGTAGGTTCTAAGTTTTACTATGCTAGAACTTTCTTGTAGATAACTACTCTAAAAAATTGTCTTTATCACCATAAATTTGTGGATGATGTATGTATCCCGCAACACTCCAATCTTATGATCTGATCTCTTTATTCACACACCTTTTTTGTCACACTCTTAGGCCATATTGAAGTGTCTTGGGCCTTGGCCAATACCAGAACACTAGCCCATAAGCCAATGCCAAAAAACTTGGTTTTTGATTCATTTTGATCCCTTAATAAGGAGAGTTATCTTGAGTTCACAAGTCTTATGTTGACATTTTTTTGAATATCGACTCATTTCACTCGTTGATTATATTATTTGGCTCAATCCAAATTTGTGAAGGTTGGCTAGATGGCACCTAAGTTATTGTAGGGAGACTTTAATTTCACGCCCATGCACCTTTTTATTTTCATAAGTAATATTGTTGTTAGTCAACTCATGACCCTCGGATTTCTTTCGCGTTTCCATGTGGTTTGTAAGTTGTACGCTAGAAATTCAAGGTTGAGAGTGCATTTAATGTGCTCCCCTTCATAATCAAGGTGTGGAAATTAGTGTACGTAAAAATGTCAATGTGGTCATTTATCATCTTTGGTAATGTCATGTAGCCCTTGGTGACTGGTTTCTTATTAATTTTGAAGTTTCTATTTGATATTTTAGGTTTTTTGTTTAAAAATCTATTATAAATATATATTATTTGCTTCTTATTCTCTTTGGCTCTCTTTTATGTCTCAGGCTTCGACCCTTTCGTTTTATTAATTTTTAGATAGCTTCTCTAAAATACTCTTATGACTTTTCATTTGGTTATTCGCCTTGTTTTCCTGACGTTTTGGTTGTGAACTCATCTATCCTTTGAGATTTATTAAATTGGTAAGATTCTCATCTTTTTTTTTTACTTATTTCACTTTCTTTATGTTCTATAATGACGTTTATTGTTGGATATGTTGTTTGTTTCTTGTAGAGTATTGTCATGAAATGCTTGAAAATCTCTAAAAATGGTGACATGGATTGTACGTAATTGTCTTGCCTTTTGCTAAAACTTCTCGTGAAACAATATGTGACACAAGTACATCACGAAATTTGCATTTTTAAATGTTGTTGGTCCTGCAATCATCAAAAAATACATCAAGAAATTGTGTGCCTCAAACATGTGGTCCTAAAAGGACGTGATTCAAAATATTTTAGGAAATTTCAGAACTATGTATGTCCCTGGATATGAAAAACACATTTCACCGATAAACACTGGAATTCCGGCACAACAAGACAAATGTCGTATACGATGTCAAAAAAATAAGATGTTGAATGCTAAGTCAAGACATCGTAACAACACAGTAAAATAATGAACAATTTAAACAACTAGCTAGAAGTAAATAACACAAGTCAATTTTTAACCTCGTTCGATGCAACGTCACCTACATCTGAGGGCATCCAAGCCAGGAAGAAAATCCACTATAGCAGTATTAGTTTGAAGTTCTAAACAACCTTTGATCTTACAAACTTCACACCCAATCACTATCCATGTTATTTCTATCTAAGACATTCCTAGATATGAGACCCTACTCACTTCCCTTCAATCATACAATAGTGATAAACCATGAAACAATTAAGAAGGAGACACACTCCAATAAACATAATCAACTACTGCTTAAAAGCTTATGAGTGACTCACAATTATATATCAGCTAACAGTCTAACTTAAGCATCAAGGTGATACTAGAGTGGCTCACAGTGAACAATAAACAATGAACAAACTAAACCCTAATTGAGATCCTCACACATGTTCCTTATCTGTCTCTATATTAGGTGTAAAGTATCCCTTTAAATAGCCTGAATCCACTTGGGCTTGATGAAAAAATTAGGCTAAAACAATCAGCAGATACGATACAGTCTTATACACATAATCAGGAAAATCATATAATGTTTCCTTAAATTTTTTGACATCCATTCTTGTGAAACAATGAAAAATATATCAGATATTTGATACTTTATAAATACACCCTTATTGAACCATAGATTGCAAAAATCATATCTCAATCAAATCTTCAGTGATCTTGCGCTAAAAATAAATTTTCACAAAAGTAAAATAAATCTTGCGCTACAATGTTGTATCAACATGTCAAGACATCTTGTCCAATATCTTACTGAACTACTTGTTTTAATAAATGTATTCAATCACACCTCAACCAACCTAACAGACGATATTTCCTTGGATTCTTCTACAAAAGAAGAATCTCTTGTTATGTTTGGTATTTCACAGTGTCATATTATTTGATATTTTTCTTTCATAATTTTTTATTTACTTTCATTTTTTTTTCTTTTTTGAAACTAACATGGTCGTGGAAATATAATAAGAAAGATTAAAAACCTAAAACCTGCGTCTCTTTATGTTAATCTTTCTTTTAACAGTCCTCCCTTTGTTGGACATTCCACTATTATTCCTTCCTATATTGGTCCTTCAACTATTGGTTTGAAAATTTTCAAATAAATGATAGATTTAAATATTCATTAATTGTTGATTTGGGGGTTAGTACCTAGTCCTTACACTTTTTGGAAAATAATTTCAACCTTCAGATAACGTAACTCTGGCCCTTGCAATATTTTCCACCTAAAGTAAACCGAGTCTTGAAAAAAGGTACTTTTCATACTAAGATGGCCCATACCGCTTCTAGAGAGACGGAGAGATATACAAAATGGGATCCCTTTTTTAGGTTTGAGGCTATGAAAATACATCTTTGAGCTTTATGAATATGGCATCGTATTCCACTTTCCACTGGAAATTTCTTTCTATCCTCAAGAGTTTATAAACTAGTAATGCGTTGAATTCCTTTCTTGGTCCTCGGGGTTGTCATGTTTACTAATTCTTGGCATTGATCTAAATTAAATTTTATTCCTCTTTCTGCGAGGTAGTATCCTCATGAACTTCCTAAATTTTACTTTAAAATATAATGGTTAAAACCATTTTATCCCTGTAATGTAGGTGATTTTTGCTTTATCTCCTATAATATTTTTTATTACCTCCCGTAATATATAGTTTTTTGGATTACCTCCTAAACGTACAAATTGAACAATAAATCTAGATATATTAGGGGGAAAAAGACATAGAATTTAACATTTTAAGGGAGTCATCCAAAAAAAAATTACAGGAGGTAAAGAGAATTTTGTCTATATTGCAGGGGAGTATTATATATTTAACCCAAAATAGAATTAGGGGTTCATTCATCAGGTGTTTTCTAATTTACTTAAATATGGCCTACAAATAGTTCTTGTGCTCTTCATTCTTTTTATATTTAACAATCATGTCATTCATATAAACATCCAGCATATCTTTGATTTGATATTTGAAGATCTTGTTCATTATCCTCTAGTACATTCTTAATGTCGAACGACATAACTTTGTAACAGAAGTTTCCCACACATTTCATAAATGTAGTCTGGTTACAGTAAAGGGGGTACATTTATATCTTGTTATAACTAGATTAAGTATTCATAAAAGATAAGAGTTTAAACCCTGATGAGTTATGAACAAGTTTTTCAATGTTAGGAAACGCGTATGCGTTTTTTGGGCAAGATCTATTTAAATATGAATAATCAACGCACATTCAAAACATTTTGTCTCGTTTCGTGCCAACACTAGATTAGCTTGGGCTATTTGGGCTGCGAGTAACCATTTAGTAAGTGCTTTTATTTGAGCTGACAAAGTTGTAGCCGAATCAACTGCATGAATACCTATTTGTTTCATTTCTTGCCTGTTTGAACGAAACTCGTTCTAACACATATTATCAATCAATGTTTTCAACTCTTCATCGGTCTTTAATCTCAATGTACCTCAAGTTGAGGCATCGAGAAACAGTCTCGTTGTGTTCTCAACCCATCGATCAAATGTGTCATATGTTTAATAGAACTCATGTTGTGATTCAGACATTTTTGAAGTAACAACTTGAATGTTTACCATTCACCAGATATTGACTCTTCCTCTTCTT